GAGCTGCGATTTGAGCCGTACGCACAAGAATCGCTTCTGGCCACTCCCATTCCCACAATTCAATGATTCACATCCGTATATTTGGCGAAAGATGATTTTGCAGTGAAATGGTTGATTTCATGATTTTATGTGAAAGTTTATTTGAAATGAATATTGTACCCTTACCTGTAACTTCCAGGGGTATTAACACAGTCTCCGTTGTTTTGGCATCCCAAATCTGTACCAGCCAGTATGTAACATTCGTCTATGTCCTCCTCACATGTTTTTCCCTGTAGATACAAAAACGATGAAAATTTAACAGTTTTTTCCTAATGCTAAAATTAAAAAAAAAATGATAAAAACCCAACAGCCATTTCAGTAAATGTTTTTAAAAATAACCTAAAGTAAGTTTGATATAATAAGCGTTAAATAAGCATTTTTAATATTAAGTTCATTTAATGTTATTTTCAAATAAACCTTTAATAAGTGTTGAGAGCGAATGTTTATAAATCACTTAAACTTAAAAATGAAATGCAAATGCCAACGCCATGAAGTTGTAAATATAACACTTTTCCAATTATAACTGACGTGTATACGTTCTTTAAAATATATTTTAATTATAATTATTAAAAGAGAAAATAAAATAAAATCAATGCGGTAAAGATAGGCAGGAATGTGGCGTTTAAAAATTGAAAAAGTCAGTGAAAAGAAACTATAAATTTGCATATGAACAGTGAAGTCCTCGGAGAACAAATTCAACATAACGTTACTTCCAATCCAGGGGGGAGATTCTGTAACCAGTTAGCGACAATTTTCGAATCGCTATCGCACTTTTTGACGCATAAACATTTATNAAAAATTGAAAAAGTCAGTGAAAAGAAACTATAAATTTGCATATGAACAGTGAAGTCCTCGGAGAACAAATTCAACATAACGTTACTTCCAATCCAGGGGGGAGATTCTGTAACCAGTTAGCGACAATTTTCGAATCGCTATCGCACTTTTTGACGCATAAACATTTATATCGTGCGTCAAAAAATGCGATAGCGATCCGAAAATTGTCGCTAACTGGTTACAGAATCTCCCTCCAGGACCCGCTGCGCTAATCGGTGGAACATTCGAGCCTTCAAATAATGAGTTATCCTTATCCTTGATTACTTTTACGTTCAATTAAAAATGTATACACGTTTTTTCAGAAACCTTCATCCATGAGATTGGCGGCGATGAAGCGGAATATACATACAGCTCCATAGAACTCGTGTTTCCAATTTGTCAATAACCGCATGTGAAAGCTGCTGCACGCACAAGATATAATAATTAGCTTTTTTATACTTTGTTGTTATCATGAATTTATATTTATTTATATACATATACATATATTGTTTAAAGTAGCAAAAGAATGTTAAAATGTCTCTTCCCTATTTATATTTTCCCGACTGTAGATGAGTCTGCAGAAAACTCGCATTTCTTTTAGTTTCTATTCACATTTGTTAGAAAATATTTGGATGTTACTATATTTGTTATATAAAGCTTAATAACTATAATAGTAAACTTAAAAAATGCTTTCTTTAAGTTTATTTTGCTTGGCGGGAGTTGTATATGCACATATCGTCGTTTCAAGTACAAATCCGCGTAACTGACATTTGCTGCCAAAAATTGGATTTGCTCACACACGCTCTTAGCTCAATCCTTATCCATTCGTCCTGAAATATACTAGCCAGAGATGTTTTGTTGATACGCGGTTTTTTACTTTAAACGACGATATGTATTTATTTTATAATCCTCATAAAGATCATTGAGTACATAAGACCAACTTTTTTGGTGTCTTGAAGGGACTATATTCGAAATCTTTTTTTTTTTACACGTTTATATCAGTTCGCTTTCTTGTTTCCCAGATATTATTTGCGTACTCGTAGCTGTTATTTATTGAATGTTATCAGGGTTATCAGGTGTTAGTAGGTGTGTACTCGTATTGAGAGGACAAAATTCTCCAGCAGCAAATGTTCTGAGAATTTAGCAGCATTCGCTCCCAAAGAGACGAAATATCAACAGAAGTACGAGAACGCAAAATTTGGAAAAACTTGCAACCTTCGAAACAGCTGATCACTTCCACAGTTGCCACTGGTGATTAATTTGGCAATTTATTTCCTGTTTGGTATATTTTCCCCCGATTTGGCATTTTATACAATTGAATAGTTTTCGATAAGAGGAGAAGGACTTGGCTTCACTTGGCATTTTCAATTGGCGTCAGTTAGCACAGAAGAGAAATGACTGGCGTGCTGTTTTGGACTCGGCCAAAATCGCTTAGGCGGTTACAGCGCCAATCAAGAAGAAGAAGAAGAGATTTAATTGCAGCATGCTGAAATGTTGTTTTGCTGAAGTTTTCGGTTTTGGTAGGTTGATTGTCGAAATGAAAATTTTATAATTTTAAAGCTACATCTGTAGCTATATCTATTACATTGTTTTTGGATCAATGATGGGTGTTTGGAGGAGATACTCTTGTTTTTGAATGCGTCACCATGTGATATCACAAATAATTATGAGAAAATAACTTATTCATTCCGATATAATTAATTTGTATTTTAAAAAGGTTTT